GTTTAAATTACATTTAAATGTAAGATTAATTTCTTTTAAGAAGGAATAAGTAGCAGAAAGAAGGGAAAGTCTTATTATGCAGTATCCATTTCTCGGCTCTGGATTCATTGCAAAGAAAAAATAACAAGCACATATTTTGCGCATGTAAAAAAGTGAGATAAGTAAATCTACGATGGAATGTTTCATCTGTTCTTTTATATGGTGGCAAATGGGTGCAAAAGGACAGCAAACAAAATAACAAGCTGCAAAAGCATCAATGATGTAAACTCCGAACAAAAAAACAAATGCAACAGTAAAACGCTGCAAACATAAAAGAAACAAGCTGCAAATAAGAGGAAATAGCAAAATGAGCTGCAAACACATGTTTGATGCAAATTCCAAAACACAAAAAAACAAATGCCGTAGAAAAAAAAAACTGCAGACAAAATAAAAGCTGAAAATAGAAGCAAAAAGCTAAAATCAACAAAACAAATGCAAATAAAAAATGTTGCGATCAAAGGAAGAAATTGATGCAAATAGTAGAAAAAAGCAGCAAAGTCGCACCAGAAAACAGAAGTGCTCCACTAGAGGACATCAAACAAAGGAACCATATAGGACCAGACCCTCCGTATAAACATAAAGTCAGGCTTAAATGCAAGAGTATCAAATAGAAAGTTGGAGAACCAAAGGAGATTGTTGTTGTTTTCTCATTGCAAGACTCTGAAACCTGGACAGCTGCTGAAGAGTTGGACTTCACTATAAACTACTCGTTTATGAGAAATCTTTGATTGTATTGACAATATGTTTTGGATATATTGGGGGTCCTGATCGGAGGCTGGGGGGGCTTTTCTTCCACAGCTGTGATGGGCAAGAGATAATGAGAACATAGATGGATGAAACCGTATCTATGTAATCCTGGGCGGAAAAAAAAAACAGGTTTGAGGCTCCAGAAGACCTGGGTGATTCACTGAAATGTAGTGTTACCCCGAAATCCCACATCCTCTGTAACTGCCCTGCCACCCCACTCCACTCCCCTTCAGACCACCTGCGCAAAGCAAAGCCTACAGCCTCTGCTGTTTCTCCCGTCTTGCTCCGCTCCTCCTAGAAGCTCGATGAGAGCATGCGTGATATTATAAAATTCTTAGGAACAAAACATGCAGAAAAAAATCTTTTTTAATATGACATATTAAAAAAATCCCCATAAGCAACCAGCATGTGTGCAGTTTCAGCCCAAATATTTTCTTTTTGTTGTGTATTTTTGTAACAGGGATAATTAGGATTATATAAAATATTTTAATCGAGAAGAGAAATCTGCTTCCTTGTATGTTGAAGTACCAATAGTTTGCATCCAATCGTTTAATTAAACAGCCTTAGTTTTGGGGAATTTATAAGAATGATGCAATAATTTGTAGTTACTGATCTGTCGTTTCTATATTTTAATTCGACAAATCGGATCTTCCCTACGTTCTTTTTCCTGTTTGGTGCGATTGCGATTGCAATTGCGGATCTTGACCTTGCCGGACCGGAACGGAGCAAAAAATAGCTCTGCTTCATATTATGACGGTGATGAACGGGGAAGACGTACACGGACTGTGACGTGCGGTGGATGTGGAACAGTTCCCATTGATTAACATGACAGACAAGTACTCTGCATGGCGTACATGAGCGGGGCAGAGTGGAAATCTCTGTCCACTCTCTGTGACACCATCTCATGCGTGTCAAACCTTTAAAACAATGCACCATTTGTCTTCCACTTCACAATTATGTCCTTCTTTTTTTTAAACTTTTACAGGAAATATCTCGGAAAAACCCACTGAGGTTTCTTCTTCTACCCTGGCAAAACGTGGAAGAGATCAAGAGATTTAAATACTTTTTGATGGGGCTGTAAATCACACTTCGCTGTTTGACAAGGTTCAGTTTGACGAATATTAAAACACTTCCTAACAGAACAACCAATTGAAAGAAGGACCCTCAGCCCAGTTGCTGACATATTTTTACAGTGCTGGTTTAGAATGCCTTCAAAAACCCCAAACAAGTTCTTTACAAGTCCCTAAAATATAAGCAGTTAGAAGGTCTTGACAAGAGGATAATTCCCTTGTTAAAAGTTTTTCAGCATTTATTTGTTGTTGGCGTAACGGTGTAAGGTATGATCAGGCAGGTATAATTCAGGTACAGTAAATCATCCAGGGGTGTCACGCGGCCATATGTGCTAACACACTCTAGCAGTCCATATCCTCCCATCCTGTAAATCAAACACGAAGAGACGGAGGTGTGACAGCAAGCAGAAAAGGCTTTTTTTTGTTGTTTTCCTGTCTTCCACAAAGCAACCTTGCGAGGAATGCGTTTGAGGTGAAAACACCTGTATAATGTCAGCCAGGATGGCCTCTCTGCTGACACTCACACACACACACAAATGAATATAGGTCAGCCGCTGGTATGGAACACACCTGGACTCCTCACTTTTCAAATTCTCTTCATCTCAGACTCACTTCTGCTCTCCCTTAAGAATCCACTGCTACTTAATGATGCTTTACTCAGTTTTCATTTCCTGATCGTTGTTCCAGCCTCCCTAAACAGCCTATGTTCTGTAAATCTGCATGGTAACGGTTTGGCATAAATCATTCAGACTCATCTTTACTGTAACATGAAAAAAATAAGAAATGAAATTATGTAATGACAATAAGAGGATTTATCGGAGGAGCTCTCCAAACATTCACACTATTGATAGATGGATCTGTGCTGAAGTGTTTGCCATTTGCCTGCATTAGTCTAGGTGCATAAATTGTATAGCTCGGCTCGTCTTGCACAACTAGTGTGACTTCTGCCTTTAAGTGTTTATGGATGATGGATAGAGGAATGTTCTTCTCGGCTGTGTTCCAGAACTCACTTTTTGCTGCAGCAACCAACACAATAAACCAGATTAACCAGAAATCAATTGTTACTCTGGGTGGTTATAATTTTGCTAAATGACATCATCACATAATTTGCATGTAATAAGTAAATCAACATTAGGATGACAGAAAGTCTTTAAAAAAAACTCCAAATACATTTAAAACTCAAGATGTACCTTTATAAAATGATTTCTAGCATTCAATTAGATTATTTTAACCTTAACTGAAACTATATTAATCGATCTTATGTTATCAAATTTAACTTAAATACTGTTAGTCACTGCAGACAGTGAATGAGGCTCTGAATGAGTAAATGCCGGGAGGATCTATTATAGTGCAATACACAAAATATCATATTTACATCTCGCTTTTTAATTAAGGGGGGGTGGAAGCTTTGCGCATGTTGGACTACTTTTCAGTGGGGAAACAGGAGAGTTGCCCTTCTCTCCCGTACTGCAGAAACAGGTTGCAGCTGCTGCATCTGACTCCCTCAGTGTTTTTGGGAGGCAGGGCCTCCCTCACTAACTGTTTGCTGAAGACTGTAAACTCAGAGCGATTGGTGCTTCCACTGTCGTCAAATTCTCCAACTTGACAGGAAATAGTCATTAGATTTGTCGCTAGCCACTTTACGCTATACGTATGTTGGATGAGTTAATCCAGATGGTTTGTTAAACTTAGGCCCCGTCCACACGAAGTCAAACCCTGGCCTAAATTCACAAATTTTTCACCAAACCAGCCTCTCATCCATACGAAGCCGGCGTTTTGGGGTCTGTAAACGATCTTTTTTTTATTAAACCTTCAGAGTGGGAAGATTTTGAAACGCTGTTTTCGCGTTTCCATCTTTACGCTCTAACCGCATTTTTTTTTTACACGCATGCGTCATAGCGTCGCCTCTAAACACGCATGCGCGACACAGTATCACAACAACAATGGCGCCGTACTGTGTTGAATGGTTGCTGCTCATGCTACTCACCCTGCTGTCGGGCTTACAACAGAATCTTCTTCTTCTGGAATATCTCCAGGAAGAACAGAGCAATATCGACGACATAGTTCAGCACCTGAATTTGAATGAACCACGAAAATGGACCCGCAGGCCCATTTTCCGGTTTTCCAGTTTGGTTGTTGTATAAATATTACTGCGCATTCCCAGCATTTCGTTGCCTGTTTTCGCCTATTTTTGCTTTGGCACCACAGCGCCACTTACAGGCCTGGCAAACATTTTGCAGCGTTTTCATGCATTCATGTGGTCGATCACATTTATTTTACGTCTCCGTCTTTAAGACAAACGTTCTGGAAAATATTAGTGTTTCGTGTTCGTTTTGACTTCGTGTGGACGGGGCCTAAGGATTTAATAAACATGTTTTTTTCATAGATGAGACAAAGCGTATTTACATTAGTATAGGAGGCCTACTGACTATCATCCTGTGGAAGTTCATTCCAGACACTGTTCTTCTGAAGATCTGATCGAAAGATGTTTTAAAACAAAAATAAATTAAAATTATCTAGGGTTATATTCTACTAAACTTAAATCCTCAGAGAGTTTTGATGGAAATTGTCTATCAGCATGACAATAGAAGTTTATCCCATACTATAATTAGCTCAAAAGCACTAAAGAGAATTGGCCCAAGTACTGGACCCAGTGGTGCTCCATAACTAACTGGCATCTGTTAGATAAAAAATATTATAAACTCCCAACAGAGCAGCCAAAACGGCTTGGATATTTGATTTTATTGACTCTGTAGCTGAGAAAAAGCGGCTGGATAAGCTGATCAGGAAGGCCAGCTCTGTGATTGGATCCCCTCTGGACTCAGAGGTGGGAGGAGGTGCAGGAGGTGGGAAAAAAAGGATCCTAACTAAATTAACATCTCTGTTGGATAATGTCTCCCACCCCATGCATGAAGCTGTTACAGAACTGGAGAGCTCCTTCAGTGACAGACTGCTGTACCCTAAATGCATCAGGGAGCGTTATCACAGATCCTTCCTCCCAGCAGCTGTAAGACTTTATCACCACCAATGTTCCCAACATCCTCAATAAGTTGTTACATTCATGCTGATTTTGCACAGTTTCTATCTTAGTCAGTTAAATAACATTACATTACATTATTAATCTCCAGGTGCACCGTTTTATATAATTAAAACACTTTACAGTGCAGTATTTTATTGTTTCTCTTTTAACTCTTCACTGTTATGTTATTCTTATACATTTTTCTAAGGCCCACATTTGTGTAACCATTTTTTCTATAATCTTTTTGCTGCCATAAACACCAGAATTTCCCCACTGTGGGAAAATAAAAAGGATTTTCTATTCTATTATCATAGACAAAAGCTTGTTTTGTATAGTTATGCTAAAAGGGTCAGCATTGTTTAGCAGTAATCTTAGTAATCTCTTGTTTTCCTTGTCTTTGTTAGATGTTTCTTAAAGCTGGGCGAGTGGCAGCTCAGTCTGCAGGGCATCAATGAGAGCACCATCCCCAAAGTTCTTCAGTATTACAGCAATTCAACAGAGCATGACCGCAACTGGTACAAGGTCAGTCCCTGCTTCCTGCCTTCAACCTTTCTCTTTTGGCCTCTGCCTGATGCTGCTTAACCCTTTATAGGGCAATCAGTGAAATACTATTAAAATCCAAATTTCAAGCCAATAGTGTTATTAGAATCCAGAACAAGCCCTTATCACCTTTGTAACAAAAAATTTGGATATTTCCATGGTAAAAATGAATGTCAATGTAACAACAAGAAGCAGCAAATTGCCATAATATATTAAGGAATAATAACAAATGTGCTTCTATACGAAATTCATGAAAAACACTCTGAGAGTAAAAGTAAACAGTTTTTTTTTGGGTACAACATAACCTTAGAGATATTCCAAAAAAGTAAAAAAAAAAACAACCCACTGGACTTCCAAATTTCAAGATGTTTCGCTTTCCATTCAGGAAGCTTCTTCAATTCAAAATGTCAGAAATAGCGTTGAGGTCCAGGTTTTACAGGGTGGACCAAAGCACAACATTTTTTGTTTAGAAAACATGCAAATTGAAACTGACAAACAAATCCACCTATTTGAAATGGGTGTCCTTTTGTTTCCTTTTTAGCCTGTAATACCCGATACCTGTCTATGTCTCTGAAAGGGACGTCAATAAAGGGAATTGTTGGCCTGGTTGAAGAGGAGAGGTCTTCTGTCCTCCTGTAATAGATTCAAAAGGAATGCTGCTGCTGGGGGTATGCAATGAACTAGAGCACCTCGCCTCTTCAGCCAGGTCAACAATTCCATTTAACGACCCGCCTATATGAGACATAGACAGGTATCGGGTATTACAGGCTAACAAAGAAACAAAACAAACCCTATTCCAAAGGTTGATCCTTTTCAATTTGCATTTTGCATCGTTTTCTAAACAGAAACAAGGCTTTGCTTTATTCCACTCTATAAGGCCTTGAACTCAACTCCATTTCTGACATTTTGAATTTAAAAAGCTTCCTGGATGGGAAACAAAACGTCTTGGAAACCAAGTCCAGTGGATTGTCTTTTAACTTTTTTGGAATGACTATGACCTGGATGACTTCTCCAACCTTAGAGGCATTAATGCTGATACTGGCACTTCCATTTTTTTTCAGTTTATAAACCAAAATATAATTGTTAATTGGCTTATTAACTTTTTAACTTTAAATTTTTTAATTAGCTTTTTACTTTTTTTCTTGACTTGTTAGCTTTTTTTCCATCTTAATTTACAGTAGGTAATATATCATTCAAGGGCTCATCTAATTGGTCAAATGCCAAAATAAGATGTAGAGCCATGTAGCAGTATCTTTGCTGAATGGCGGGATATAGATCTTGTGCTTCTATACATCACTGAGGGGCGGCGAGGACTCGGGGTATGCAAGTGATCAAGGGATAAATCCCAGCTGGGTCAGGAAGTCGGAACATCAGAACTCCGTTTTGATTCCTTCAGGCCTTTGATTTTTTTTTTTATGTTGTAACTTTAATGCTTGTTTTCCTGTGTTACCATGGCTCATTTATTTTCCCTGTTAGACAACAGTATTTAAAGCTCGTCGTTTGTTTGCTTCTCATTCGTCCGCATCACAGCATTTTTTTTCACAGTCTGTGCTGCAGGCTGCAAAAATCAATGCATCGCACACTTTCCACTCATTTATCTTCATCAGTAGTTTTTCTTTTTTAATTTAATTAAGATTTTTTGCATAACTGTACAGACAGCTCCAGGATAGGAAAACTATACTGGAGAAACTGGAAAATTACATCATGAATAAATGTGGAAATGATTTCCCAGCTATCAGTTAACAGACAGTAAGTGCCCTCTGTTTGGCGTTTCTCTGCAGGCCTGGCATGCCTGGGCCGTGATGAATTTTGAGGCAGTGCTGCACTACAAACACCAGAACCAAGGGCGTGATGAGAAGAAGAAGCGCCGGCACGCCAGCGGTGCCAGCGCCAATAGTGAGGCCAGCAACAGCGACAGCGAGGCCGACAGCACAGACCACAGTCCCGTGCCTTCACCGCGGCAGGTCAATGAGGTAGGAGTGGACCTTCTAAGACAGTGTCTGTTCATTTTCAGAGCAACTAAAAGATAAATCTTGTCTTTATGCAAGATGTTAAAAATCACCAAGTTGTTTCATTGCTCTCTGCAGGACCTCTCCAAGACTTTGCTCCTCTACACCGTCCCTGCTGTTCAAGGATTCTTCCGCTCCATTTCCCTCTCCAGAGGAAATAACCTGCAGGACACACTAAGGTGAGGGAAATGACTGAAATGCAAACAAGGCTAGATGCCATACATATGAAACCTTTGCAGTTTGCCTATTTTAGTGTGAGTGGGGCCCTCTAGTGGTTGATCTCTGTAACTGTCTACTGAAAAAATATGCCATCAGAGAGGAGACCATCCTGAGTTAACTTTCCTTTTTTAACCTCTAGGGTTTTGACTCTGTGGTTTGACTACGGTCATTGGCCTGAGGTGAATGAAGCTTTGGTGGAGGGCATCAAGACCATCCAGATAGACACCTGGTTACAGGTAAGGTGGTCCTCATTTACAAGTGGAGACACCCTGGTCATCAAAAAGAACTGATATATGGTTTTCAACTGTTTTCAAGCGTTCCTGAAAAATATAGGAGTAGTTTTAAGGATTTCAGAGGTTAGAAACAAACACAAAAAGTAATATATTTGGAAGATAACCTTTCTTGGAGATTTTTTTATTCTACAAAAATAAATAAATAAAAACAGAAACATGCCAAACTGCAGGATCTGATGTTTATCTATATTTCATCACCATAAGTAGAGGTTGTTATTTTATTTTGGATCCCCATTAGCTTCAGCATAAGCCAAAAGCTATTCTTCTTGGGTTCCACCAATCTTCCATGTGACAATACAATTCATTATATCACTTTACACACTATTCGCACAAGACATTTACACAACAACTAATACATATTTACATTTAACGCCATTGATCGCCAAAATAATTAGAAGAAAATAAATTTAAGTTGAGTTGAGATCTTTTTCTTTGGGGTTAGCATCTGACATGTTCTCTCAATGTACCGAAGCATTATTTAAAGATTAATTTTCTCCGTATTTATTTTTTAAATCCAGAAATTTTAAAAATGACCCCAAAAATGTACCAACATTTAAAAACTAAAATCTTCAATAGTCTAATATTATGTTGAAGTTCTGACTCAACTGGTCAGATCTCTATCAAATACTGCGGATATTAGCCTAGTTCTGACTTCTTTATCTCTGCCTCTCCAGGTGATCCCTCAACTGATAGCTCGTATCGACACCCCTCGAGCGCTGGTTGGTCGTCTCATCCACCAGCTGCTAACAGACATAGGTCGATACCATCCACAGGTACTCTGCCACATGCTTCATTTACAAAACCCTCGAGAGAGCAAAGCTGGCATTTCATTGATTGTTTTTTTTTTTTTATCTGCAGGCCTTAATCTACCCACTGACTGTCGCCTCCAAGTCCACTACCACCGCCCGACATAACGCTGCAAACAAGATCCTGAAGAACATGTGTGAACACTGCAACACCCTGGTTCAGCAAGCTATGATGGTAGATAATGGATCATTTACTGACATCGACCTGAATATCTGAATATGTGGGATGTTTTCTCATCTATAAATCGCTCCATACCTGCTCAGCAAGGCAACTGAAGCCAGCTTCTTTAAATTTGAAAAAAATTAGGCAATATCTTACAATATAAACTCTATAAATGTTTAAACGGCGAAGGTTTACACCTTGATCCACTAAAAGGGCTCATTTGCTTGCTACAGATCCTGTAGTGCCTGAAAAAGGAGATCAGATCTTTGACACAATCAACTATAAAATGAATTTCTTAAAGAGGCGGAGTAGATCGAAAGGCTCTCCAGTACAAAAAAGATGATGACATCATAAACGGTGTAGAGTTAAACATCTCTCCCTGTAAGGGACGAGGGTGAAGACGTTTCTGGGATGCCCTGGGTGTTCGCTCCCCCCCAGACTGCACTGCATCACTCATCGCTATGATCGTGTCACTGTCATTCCTAAATGGGCCCAGAAGTACGTCCACAAACCGCTGTCGGTGAGCACGACCCACCGTGCCCTCTGCGGATCCAAACCTAAGCTCCTTCGAGTAAAAAAAAAGAAGCCATATTTGATCATGGTCCAGCAGCGCCATCCTGTCCTGCGGGGAAGGACTCAGCTTAAATAGACCGTTTCAGAGCAGGAATGTGTCCTGTGGCCAGAAGAGTCCAAACTTGACCTTATCTTCATCCGTCAGACTTTGCATCCTCAGACCTTCCTGGAGGCTCTGAGTGTTCAGTTCCAAAGACATCCGCTCTGATGGGATGTTTTGAAAGAAGCTATAAAGGCTGAGAAGTTTACAAAGATTTTAGAGTATCATATGCTCTCCGTCAGATGGAGTTAATTTCTGGGCTGGACTTGTTTTAGCAGGACAGTATGAAAGTAAATCCAGTAGCCGTCACGTTTCCTGTCTGAACCCCAGAATTTAAGACAATAGAAAATATTTATCAATGCAAGATGGCCACAAACTCAACCAAATTTCAAAACATCCATGCTCAGACATCTTTGCACTGCTTACTATGTTGGAACCTGTAGCTTGCGTATAACTAGAGATCAGCTCATCTAATGGATGAAGGTGGAGCAGCTCTCAATTTAAACTTAGCTCCATTATTTATATTCTGTGGTATAAAAGACATTTGCTCGTGTGATTGAAAACTGTTTATAATTTTTGCTCCAAGTCTAAGTACCATACCAACCAGGTTGCACATAGAAAGATTATTTGGGACGGATTGATCTGGTGAATCAGCAGTTCCTGTTTGTCTTTAATGACCAGAAATTAGCGTATCCTGCAGACAGAGCGGGTATAAAGTTAGCATGGCCACTGATCATAGTGGTAATTTGGGGCTTTTATAAATGCGTGATGAGTTTAAACCATTCAGTTAAGCAAAAAATTCATCCTGAACGGGTTTTATAATCAGGTATTTAATACACATGTTTGCTTATGCTTTAATTTTTCATAACATCCCCATAATATAAACAGACTGCCAGAAAACCTGGATAAACATCCCCAAGCTTCAGACAAACTCTTGCTTAAAGGTATAGTGGAGGATGTTCTTTTTATGGGTCCGCAAACAATCATAGACAGGTTTCAGGTATTACAGGAGACAATCCCCCCCTTAATGGCAATCCCCCCTTTAACGACCGACCCCTAGAATCATAGACAGGTTCAGATATTACAGGCTAACGATGGAACTCAACGACCCATTCATCGGTTACCATTGCATGTTTCCAAGCAATACAAGGCCTTCTCCATATAAGACTCAAACTCACTGCGGATCCAGACATTTGAATTGAGAAAGCTTCCTGGAGAGGTGGCGAAACGTCTTCAAATCTTGAAAACCAAGTCCAGTGGATATTTTTTGAATTTTTACGGAATAAAATATGACAAATAAATTTGACTAAATTGATAAAACAAAATCTAAGAAAACTGCAAAGTTCCTCTAAAAAAAAAAATTATTTCAGTGTTATATTCTATTTAAAGAAACAGATTATAATTAAAAATGTCTCCTGACCTTTACTGGCTGATGGTTTTCTTTATTCAGACCCCGCTGATTTTTAATTGGTTAGCCCTGGTCTTGAACATTGATTTCCAAAGTGGGAGTCATGCCCAGCCAGGATGAGGTCTTGTGATCCACTACAGAAATGGAACTAACCATAAACATTTATGTTAAAGTTCTTAGATACCCTAAATATGGACAAAAATCCCTTTGAAATAATATTACTCCAGTCGTCTATAGGTACTGTAGAAATGTTTGTTTACTCAGCCAATGGTTTGGGTCATCAATCATCTCTGGTACCGTTTTGTGGTTCAGAAGCTGAAATGTTTGGGAAACTGTGGTCTAAAAGAACCATAATGGGCTGAGAATCTACATAGTTTGAAACCCAATGTGAAGTTTCCACAGTCGGTGATGATTAGGGGGTCCCATGCCAATCGCTGTTGTTGGTTTTTCTGAAGTCGAAGTCTTTACAGCCGTGAACACCACTTGGAGCATGTCATGCTTCCTGTAGCTGAAAAGCTCTGTGGGGACGCTGATTTCTCTTTCTAGGAGGACTTTGTACCTGCTAAACACTGCTAAAGGAAGGTGAGAGACCACAGACCCAACAAGTTAGATGACCTGAAGGCAGCCATCAAAGCTAACATTAATGCTATGATTCATGCAGAAGGAGCTCCAAACGAAATATTAAATACAGAGACATAAACTTATGATATATGAGCTATTCATTATCTGTGAGCCACAATGATCAAAGCTATAGAAAATAAAAGCTTGAAGTGTCTAGTTTCACTTTCCAAATGAAGTGATAGCGGAGCTGTAGGGCTTTCTAACCTCTGCTGGGCGTGTTCTCCATGAGACAACCAGCTCCTGTGTTTTCCATATGTGTGGGATTAAGAGTTGAGTTGAAATCCCAGAATCATTTTCTTTGAAAGTAACCATCCAGTCCTGGCAGCTTAAACCTTGCATGAGAACGTGTTCACGGTCTGATGAAACCAAGCTTGGAACTGCTGGTAGAGGGATTTGCTGTGTACATCCAAACCAACAAAACAATGACTTCATGGGGAAAATGAAGGTTTTCTCCTAGTGGAGCCAGAGAGCAGAACTGAATTAGAACAAATCTGCATTAGTTAACCTGTAGTAGGTCCCTCTGTGTGATTAAATGATGCCTACCAAAGAGGGCCGACTGCTGAGGCTGAGTCATGGTTCAAAAAAAGCCTTCCTTTAAGGTTTTAAACACTTAGGATGTCAGGTTGTTGCAGATTTTTGTTCTTCTATATTTAATTTTATCAAACTTATCTTTCAGTGGAATTGAAGCACATTACTGTCAGATTTAAAGGTATAGTAGAGGATGTTCTTTTTCTGGATGACTCAACAAAATAAGTGGTCCTCCTAATTGTCAGTCATTCTGGTGATATGTTTAGAAAGGATAGAAATTAAACTATATTGATCTCACATTGGAGAGATCAATCCATCTCTTGTGGGGAGCAGTGGGCTGCCACTGTGTTGCGCCCGGGGAGCAGTGTGGGGTTAAGTGTCTTGCCCATAGACCTGGAGTGCAGGCTGTAGGGATCGATCGAACCGGGTACTTGCAACCTTCTCAGAGCACAAGCACACTCCCCAAAAGTGTTACATAAGGCCGTCCTACGTGCTCCTCCCCATTTTCTCTTACTGGTGATGAATCTGACATAGTGGAAAAATTGCAAATCTTCTTTTGGAAAGTAAGCTTGTATTGGCGATGCAAACGGCAACGTTTAAACAGAGCGTGCACGAGGAGAAATGGGCTCGTGCACGCTCTCCCACGCATTTAATAGGCGTCCCTCCAGGGAGCGGGTACAGGGTTGTGCATGTGCATTTTTTTTTTTTTTTTAAGTGGAGAGGGCGAGTCTTTTAAAAAATTCAGGAAAATCCTCCACTATGCTTTTAAAGAGGAAAAATTGTTTAAATATTTGCTCATGTCTCCCAATTTTTTACATCTGACACTGATTTTGTATGAGAGTCAAAAACCTTCTTACTGCCACTGTCATAGAATCGGTTAATCTGGTATTTTGTTCATAGAAAGTCCCAAAGCTCTGCCATTTTCAGAAAGCCTGATCATCCTGGATGGGAAATCTCTCTGCAAGGCTTTGTTTGAGTTCCACACGCAGGACATGTGGGGAAATTAATACCTCACAGCAGCCTGACCTTTTATATGTTGTCTCTCTGCCTCCAGGTGAGCGAGGAGCTTATCCGTGTCGCTATCTTGTGGCATGAGATGTGGCACGAGGGCCTGGAGGAAGCTTCTCGTCTTTACTTTGGCGAGCGCAATGTAAAGGGCATGTTTGCTGTGCTGGAACCGCTACACGCCATGATGGAAAGGGGGCCACAGACCCTCAAAGAGACTTCATTTAATCAGGTTTGTTAGGTCATCTTTTACAAGTTAATGCTCACTTAAAAATGCATTAGCTCCCCAATATTCAGATTGATGGTTCCTGCTTCAGGCTTATGGCAGAGATTTGATGGAGGCTCAGGACTGGTGCAGGAAGTACATGCGCTCTGGGAACGTGAAAGACCTGACGCAGGCCTGGGACCTTTACTACCACGTCTTCAGACGCATCTCCAAACAGCTGCCTCAGGTTGGTGAAAATGTTTCTTCTGCAAACAGCAGCTTCACGGACGTCATCTTTTAGATTTCCTTCTCAAGAAAACAAACATTCCACTCAAATTATGAAACTCATCATTAGTATTATTAGTATTTTTAAAATTAAATTTTGATTTGTGACAGTGAACATATGAAAATCACGGTTGTCTCTTAGACCTAGACCTTAGAACTTTAATATAAATTTGTATACACCAAGTATACTCAAAACGAAATTATGTTGTTTACAGCTCAAAACAACGAAATGGACATTACCGTTATAAAGTGCAGCAGTGATCATCATGTAGACAGTATAGGAGAAAAGTAACTAGTAAAAAAAATATAATGGTCCCTTTATTTGTAATTTTCAAAAAAAGAAAATTAAAAACAATCCACTGGACTTTGTTTCCAAGTTTCGCTTCCCATCCAGGAAGCTTTTTATATTCAAAATGAAAAGGAAGCTTTTTTTTAATTGTAAAGGTTCTTGGATGGGAAGCAAAACGTCTTCAAACTTGGAAACAAAGTCCAGTCCATTTTTAATAATTCAGAGAAAAAATAAGACTTTATTTTCCTTAAGCTAGCGCATCGTAGAGGTCTAATCATCACAGCTGTAACATAAGGATGCTAGGATGTATGTCCAACCATTGGCATCTAAAGTCAGAGATGAGAAAATATATTTTTAAACTTGTTTGAGCTGCTGTAGTTTAAGTTGTTTGACAGCCACAGTTTTTAGATGTCTATCGCCAAAAACTGGAACTGCACTTTTAAATGCACACATTTGCAAGCATGTTGGATGTAAGACGAGCTTTAATGAAGCGATGCCATAATTTGGTGCATCCAACAGTTGTGCACAAGCTGAAATCTAGCAATAAGTGGTTTCAGGAAGGGAAATGACGACCAGGACCAGGGTAGAACCTTATGAGTAAAGTCATTAGGTTTAGTTGTTCATTGAAAGAGGCTGTGGTTTAATGGCCCTTCAGAGAGCTGATGTCCTCAGCTCATGTCTGTGCTCCTTTATCCACATCTGATAGCTTTTCACACAATCTGTCCCTGACTCAAACTTTAAATTCCTGGCAGATAAAGAAATAAATTCATCAGATGTTCTCCCATCTGCATTAATTAGCATAAAAGAACAGAAATTAGACTTGTCTGTAGAGTCATCCTGGCAGCAAACCAAAGTCTGGGAGGAAAACAATCGTTTTTCTATTTCTGAGGTTTTCATTGGCTTCATTAACGTTGGCCAAACCTGAAGTCAGGCAGAGCCTCATGAGACGGGATGGGGGTTGTCTAAAAGAAATAACAATGTTATAAAAGATGGGATTTTGTTAACAGAGGACATCTTTCATTTATCATCAAAATGTAATTGTTAATTTTTTTACCCAGATCTTACTCTCTACTTTTTATTGTGTTCTGATAAATGCAGTATGTCTGTATGCCACCCAAAAAAGCTTCTCTCATTCATGCGTATTTCTATTAGACTAGCACAATATACTCAATCGCTGTCATAGTTCCAATATTAATATCAGTGTTTGCTGACATTAGTAAGAAGGACTACTTGGAGGAAAGTAGTGGTTGGAAATTTGATCTTTAGGGTCAGAAAATCAGGCTTTCTAGACTCAAACTGTCCCTGATGTTTACCTGCTGGGATTAGAAGGCTGCAGAGGTGTCAAAAGTATCAATATGTATTACTCAAGTATAAATCCTAATGTTTAAAAAAACAACAGAGTATCAACTTAAAATTTTAACCGAAGTAAAATTGTAGAAATGCCATTTTAAAAGACTATCTAAAATATAAAAGAAAAATTTATGCAGGTTTAACCCTTATACTGGTTACTGCACTACCCTAATAAAGGATTGTTCTGCAGTTCTAGATGATAACTTCCTTATTTTTAAATTTCTTAGTTTTATAACTACTGGTAACAAATTTAACTTTGCATCATCTTGAAAAACTATTTATTTTGGTGAATGGCCAACAACAAATTGTTGCAGGACTGAGTTCAACCACAAAGAGATTAATTGTCTGGATGAAACAATCCTTTTGATTGTTTTGGGTGTTTTTTTTTAATACCAACAGGCCATAATGAAAATTAGCTTAAATGAAACAAAACTAACCAGTCTATTTTTAAAATGTAAGGAGTAGAAAGTGGAAATAATTGCAAAAACATACAAGAAGTAGAAGTAAACAGTTGTCTAAAAAATAATTAATCTAGTAAAGTATAGATAAGCAAAATTTCTACTTAAGTAAGGTAACTAAGTATTTGTACTTTGTTAATTTGCACCTCTGGGAGGCTGATAAGATTGGTTAGGAGCAGATTTAGTATAATCATTACTCTTATTTATTTAGATGTTTTCCTGTTTTAATGCCACTATGTCATTTTACCTGGAAAAATAACCAGAGTATAAAATATACATATATTTTAGGTTCCAACTTTCTTTACTGAAATTTTCACTACATAAAAATGTGCTTCCACCACTAAATTCAGTAAATCTTAAAATGTCAACTATTAAATGGAAGCCATAGTATTGCTTTGCAGCAATCCCTTCTAGTAGGCAAGCATGCGGCGACAGTGGAGAGGATTGACTCTCTAACTGAGGTCTGTTGTTGTCTTCCCCTGAGTTTTTATTATTCAGTTATTGTCTTGTCACCACTACAGTATAAATTGATATCAAAATGTGAGCGTAAAACCCTTTTATCTATAAACCAGTTTGAGGAATGTAAGAAAGATCAGAAGAAGAAGAATTTAAATGGGAATAAAATGCAGCTCTTATGCCAGATAAGCTAATATTATTTGCTACTTTAGCACAGCCTCATTCTGTGTGAGTCTGGTAGGGGGGGGTTTGGGTTCCCCGCTGTGACATTACAGACTCAGCATGAAAAAAACATCAGTATTTTATCATGCTAAGAGCTGTGCAAATATTCTTCTGCAGGGCATTAAGATGGACATAAATCCCCCAAACAGCAGATTTAGAGCAGCTACCATGACATGTGGCGACCAAACGCTGATATTAAACATTAACCTCCAAACTCCTCCAACTCTCTTTAGGGTCTCAGGTTTAAATGCAGCCTGGCTGTAAATATGTAGAGAAACTTCCGCTGCTGCATATAAACAACTTTAGTGAGATAACACCTCGACTTCCATATAAACCGCTGGCTGGTTCAATTTGCATATCGCTTCAGGCTCAGTTTTTTTTTTTTTTTTTAAATACACAACAGGCTGGAAAGTAATTGTCTCTTCCTGTACTACATCCTCGCCTCATCTGCTTTCCTCCCAGCTCACCTCCCTGGAGCTACAGTACGTGTCTCCAAAGCTGCTGATGTGTCGCGACCTGGAGCTTGCAGTACCCGGCACTTATGACCCCAACCAGCCTATCATTCGCATCCAGTCCATCGCCCCCTCGCTACAGGTCATCACCTCCAAGCAGCGCCCACGCAAACTCACCATCATGGGTAAGATAAGGAGAAGGCTGCAAATGCTGCTGCTGGGAACCCGTTATGTAAGGGGAATGCATTTAGGACGGCTGGTGGTGCTTTGCCTTCTGCAGGCATGGGCCGTCACTTTAGGGACATCTTCATATTAGTAGAAGCTGTACCCAAACAGTAAACAGCCTCAGGGTCACCATTTACAAAAAATAAAAAAATAAAAATCTTTGCCTCAAAAGGAAGGTCAAAATAACGTGAGCAGTTCTGTGTTTTTCGTTTCCAATTTCATAGAAAAACGGCACAGATTGCCACAAAAGACGCTCCCATCAGTCTGCACTTGGCATTATGATGATTATATAAATAAAAAGGAAGTAAATCACTCTGTTGCTTAGTCTGCTGCGCATCATGAAATATAACAGAGAAGATCTGAAATGACAAAAGAGCCACTTGGTCCATCCATCACGCAGCTTTCTGTGCTTTACACTGATCTGCTGGACATTTTGATACCTAGTTCTGATGTAACCCATCAGTGTTACACAACAGGGTCTGTAAAAGGTGATAGCCAATATATCATCTGACCTCTGGGGCAAAGCTTTAAATTAAGACCTGTCACCCTGTGCGGGCGGCTGAGATTTACCGCCGATGCTCCTTCCCTGCTGCTGCTGCTCATAGGGTCTGTCAGCTGCGGACAGAGCAGGGAAACGTTGAGTCTCTGTCGGTGAAATAATGACGTACACGTCAGATAAGTTTCCTCACGCTAAAGGATCAGATTATACTTCTGCATCCGCACACATCAAATGTCGCATGGGTCTGGTTGCAAACTAGATTTGCTGGTTTGTTTCTGCATCGTCGTCTGGAATTTCTCGGGACGCACAGCAGTTCCCCGCCAAAGCGCCGGCGGGACTGTATCTGCAAGATATCACGGTCATGGAGATCTCATCATCTAGAGATCTAGAGATGGACACAGGCAGCTGGAAAGACATACAGAGGACCAATCACAGCTGCTTTTTGTCTGCGCACTTCCGCTTGAGGTCTGCGCGGGTTTGCAACCGTCCGACGCATAGTAGTGGCATTTTTTTGAGGTGCGCGACGACTGTTGCAGAACCTCTGAGCGGGGGGGGGGGGCGCGTTGTCGCGAACAGAGTCAGATTTGACGGTTGCAGAGGCTATGCGTCAGAAGCATAAATTGGCCTTAAGGCTACATTCACATTGCAGCCTGAAGTGACCTAAATCTGATGTTTTTGCCCATATGCAGCCTGTACCTGATATTTTCATGGCAGTCTGAGCAACACAGATCCAAATTTTTCCAATGCGACCCAGGCCGCTTGGCTATGTGGTCCTGAATCCGATACGAATCTGATCTTTTCAAATGCGACCTGTTTCTGAACGGCCAGGTCACCTTCCTGAACCGACCTGAACATCATTAATACTCAACAAAGGTCACTATTCTGCGTCTTGCTACGCAGAAGCAGGAAGAAACACAGTAACCATGGCGGCCGTTAATGCGGAGTGCAGTTTTTATTTTTATTACCATCTTGAAAAGAGAGTTTTTAGGGTTGGGTAAGATGGTGAGATGCGCTACAGCATCCATGTTTACTTCTGTAAACACAGAGCATGCTGGCTTGTGACGTCATTGCTTCCTCTGATGCGCATGCAGGACACTTGCGTTGTACGAATGCAATTCACACAGGAGATCAGATCCAAGTCGCATTTATTTAGAAATGTGAACGGCAACACAAAAAAATCGGATTTCACTAAAAAAATCGGAATTGAGCATCAAGGCCTGCAGTGTGAACGTAGCCAAAGGCATGATGGGATAAAACTTTTCCCGGCTCAGGGTGTTGCAGCGTCCAGCTCACTTTGGCAATAAAAACAATCGTGGTAAGGAGAGTTAAATTTTTAAAGTGAGTCTTCATCATCTTCCATATTTATTATCAGTTCCATGCCCTGAATAAAAGGCTTTGAAATGAATTGATCTTTAATTGCAGCAGCGTGATCCAGCTCTGTAGTTCAGTTTTATGCCTTCTTCTAAAATATTAAACACGTTTGGACCAAATCATCGAGGCTTCTTGTTCCCATGCCGACCTCCTTCCTCATCAGCTTAGCCCCTGGGTTTGTTTTATCTTTATAGGACCCAGACTGAGCACAGGTTAGTGCTGCCTTCATTCCCTGAGTGATATCAGTCCTCCCCTTTGCTCCTCATAACAGAAAGCTGAAGTGATTCTGTTTGTCTTTTCTTTCTAACCTGCTGCTCTTTGTTCTCCACTTTGTGGCATTTTTTACCCTACGATGTCAGAAATTCTGTATTTTAAGTTATAGCACGTAGTTAGAAATCCTGGTGATGTGACAAACTCTGCCTTAGGAATATTTTGGCTCCTCTCAAATAATTTATCGCCTGCCGAAGCTTGCCAGACATTGCCTCAGGTAATGCTAGCGCAGATCCCGCTACAAAACAGCAGGGGAGCCAAGTCCATCCATATAATTACTTTTACATAATACGATAACTCCCTTTGAGCAAGGCATCAATAATGTATGTTCTGGCTCCATCTGCAGGAAGCAACGGCCACGAGTTCATGTTCCTGTTGAAGGGCCACGAGGACCTGAGGCAGGATGAGAGAGTCATGCAGCTGTTCGGTTTGGTCAACACGCTGCTGGCTAACGATCCTGCATCTCTACGTAAAAACCTCAGGTAGGCGGATTGCTGCAGCATCACAGGGAGAGTCTGCAGGGGAGGAAGAAAACCTGATGGGTTCTCATCTGTGGAAACTATCTAGATGTTTTTGCTGAAAAAGGCCCGAACACTGAATTAAAAAACTTTTACCAGCCTATTAATGACTAAGCGGCAGAGGAGATGTGGAAAGAAACAAACACGCTCGATCTATAGCTCAGATTAAAGATTTTCACATTATTAAGATTTCATTATAGAGAGTAGAGAGCTGCTAAATAAGCTGCAATATACTGAAAGGCTGGAGGCCAAACGCACAAATAGGATTCCTGCACACTATGGAGATGTTTGGAGTATGTTTATTGGTTTTCCAGTTTTGGAAAAGTATAAAAAAAATAAAAAGATTTTTTTTGTATTTCCTGATTTTAATCCCTGTTTGTCAGCCTTATTCTGATGGGATTCATTTTACTGAGGGACCTCACGCAATTCACAGTAATTATGAAGATTATCTGAGTTTTTAATCCAGTGGGAATCATTTCAATCATTTATTAAGTACAATTTCTGGTTAGAAATGTCCTTAAAGCTACATCGTGTAATAGTTACAGGGAATTACTGACAGGAGTATATTAATTAATATATTTTACATGAGTTTCTGTCGCTCATCATAAATCATTAAGTCATTCAATTATTATTTTCCAAATTAAGACCCTAATTGGCATTAAAATTCATTAAATGTGATTATCGAGGCATTTAAATGCTTTATTAAAAATAAAAAAGCGATTATAAAAAACTATTTTGTGTGATATATTATATCGCAATGTATTTGCACGGAACTGCTTCCGGTTGATCGTAAAGTGGACCGGGCATTCGAACCGAGCCATCAGCTCCTTGGCTGGTCCAGGTCTGGAGCCAGCCGGGGACGGAGCGACCAAACCTGACCCGGTGACGGCGAAATTCCCCCCACATTTTTTTGTAGTATGTGGTATGAAAAATTGGACATGTCTGGTGACCCTACCATATCAACAATTTGATGTTTCAGTGAGTGAGTGCTTGTTGCTATGATGCGTCTTTGCTCAGCAGCTTCGCTCTTTGTAAACCAACCAATCAGCGCACAGCTCATCTAAATATTCATGAGCATACCATAACAGCATAGCATATCATATTAGGGCTCATAAAACAGCAAATATGCCATTTCCAGCCCGACCAATGTTAAACACTCTATTCAGAGACCTTAATGACCAGCACCAAATACCCTATAGAATCATTGTATGACCCCTTTAGTTAAAAGTTCTCTTTTCTGTTGCCGTTGTTCAATAAAAGTATGTTTTAAGATCATTTGAGGCAAGAATATTATATTTTGAAGCGTCACTATATAGTGCATTTACTGATTTAGTGCGTAATTTAAACAAAGTTCCAATGATGAGAGGACCACAGCAATCAAGGCTAACTGCAGCTAGAGCTAACGTTAGCGCGTTCTCAATAGTCTTCTATCGCCATAACCTTATGTGAAGAACCGCTTGCTCTGATGGCAATTTTTTGTTTTATTTGACATAATTATAATTTGATTTGTGTTTATCTAACTGTGTTGATTATTATTCCCCCACTAAATGAAAAAAGTAAGAATTTATTATTATCTAGAGACTATTAATGTGAAATGCAGCTCCAGACGAGCCGGGCATGTGGTGACGTCACCAGTACACTTCTGTTCCAATTGACACATATTTATGCCGCGTGCTCTCGTTCTCCCCAAGTCCAGACTTTCCTGTGTTCTTCTCAAGAACATACTTGGCGAGGACATGAGACCGTATTGGCATTCTTGTGAATTGAGAAACAGCCACTAACTCAGCAGGTCAGGGGGTCAATTATTGGTCACAGGGGTTCTTAGATAATGCTTATCCCATGTTAATACGGATCAAATGTTACACTATTTATTATCCATCCATCCAATAATGGGCTGATAGTTTAGACATGTAGAAGTTTAGACACGGTGTGAAAATCCTCCAGACCTTCATGTCAACAGAATAAGCTTTAGCTGCTGATGCTGGATTCTCTTTCCCACATGTTGAGTCCCTGACAAACTAATCTGTCTGTTTGTGGCTGTTTTGCGTCCATCAGCATTCAGCGCTACGCAGTAATCCCTCTTTCCACCAACTCCGGCCTGATTGGCTGGGTGCCCCACTGCGACACGCTGCATGCCCTCATCAGAGACTACAGAGAGAAGAAGAAGATTTTGCTGAACATTGAGCATCGCATCATGCTCAGGGTGAGAATTTACCGCTTGGCTCTAATTAGATTTTACCTTTTCTAATTGAATCTGTTTAAGCAGCGTTCTCTCAGCCTGGATATTATAAACATATCCCTCGTATGAGGATGCATCTTTTTTTAAATTATTTTTCCGCTTAGTTTTAGAATAGAAAGTTGATAAGTTTATTGACTGTTTTTGGTCTAAATGTTTGTCCTTCAGATGGCGCCGGACTACGACCACCTGACGCTGATGGAGAAGGTGGAGGTGTTTGAACACGCTGTCAACAACACAGCTGGAGACGACCTGGCTAAGCTCCTGTGGCTGAAGAGCCCCAGCTCTGAGGTGCTTTGCTGCTTCTTTACACTCCACTTAAGAACCCTGTCACACCTTGCAGATTTAAGGCTGGTTTATACACAGAAACCAGGCCGTCTGCGTGTGTCGCAGTGAACGCAAATGTGCCTCCACCCCTTCCAAAGACACTGATTCACCTCTCCAAAATTGTAGGTGACCGCAGACGGTGTCGCAGACAGGAGGCCTCTGATTGGTCTAATCTACTTCCGCCCTACACAATGCGTATTTCCTGTTTGGTATCTTACCTGCTTGTTTTGTTTGTATGACCGCCAATTTGGAAAACGACTCATGAAGTTGGACCAGCTAGAAGAGCGAGGTGCACAAGAACACTGGGACCCTTTTTAACTGGATCCCCGCTCTTTTTCGCCCTCATGTCCCTCCGTTGTCGCACAAACTTGCCCCTTGCGTTTTTCCACTTCCTCACCGCCTCGGACGTATCTAGACCCACAGTTAGTTGGTGATTGTCCCTCTACCGTTGTGGCGTGGAATAACGCAGCGCAGACCACGCTTCAATATTGGGCATGAATTAAAAATATCTGCGACAATCTCACTGCGACTCACTGCTGCCTGGATTATAACCAGCCATGGGGCACACCTCACACCTTGCCCATTTATCCAGCATATGCCTGACATCCCACAATCTCCTAAAACTTTTGCATGAGCTGAACTGTTTTTTGTTGTTGTTTTTTTTTCAATTTTGGGCGCATACATAACAAGTCCAAAACTTATGTCCAACGACAGCCTAACCTATGCATAACACACGGCAGTTTAATGCCCATGAAATGATGCACAAGCCCGTGTCCTGAGGGAGCAGCGATGCACCTGGAGGCGCCCATCCTGCATAAAAAGACTTATCTGATTGCGGTATTAACCCGTCTGCTGGTTACCGCCCGGCCAAAAAAAAGAATAAAAAAAGAGGTTTTCAGTTGCAGCAGATTCAGCGTCATCTCAGCTAGGAAGTTTGTTGGTCGTGGCCGCTAACGCAGGGAGATTCCATCACACACTCCTTCTCGCTCACCCTATGATGGGGATAAAGTCTGGAGGAGAACTGACGGTTTCCTCCTTTGGACCCACTTTTATACCAAAACGCCATTATTCAGTAGCTGAAAGTTAGAAATACGTTCAGATACGTTGTTATGCGTTGGAGATAAGTTCTTGATAAGTAAGGCACAAGTTATTCACAAGTTACTCATAGGTTTTGGATAAGCTGGACACCATGACTTATGATTAACTTACACTTAACGTATGTCAACGATCAGATAACTTACCTGTAACTTATATTGCCGTATGTCAACGTGTGCCAGCGTGTTTCAGCGTACTTCAGTGTGCTCATAACTTAAGAAAAACATACCCATAACTTATCCAACGTATGCCTGCGTTTTTGCCAGATTTTTCGTATGTCAGGCATACGCTGTCTAAATCATTAAGATGTGACGGGCTTTATGGGAAGGTTCAGAGGGGCGGGGCTTGAGCTTTTTACAGTCCTTTTCTGATTTTATTGATTTCTGGCTAAAACCTTAAGAGGCTTTAATCAAGCAGCAGATATAAGAGTTGGAAAGAACTATTTTTAGACAAATCTTCAGACTTTTGATTCATTTTGAGAAACATTTTTGCATCTTAAAGATTGAAGATGATCTTTGTTGCCTCTCCTCCAGGTGTGGTTCGACAGGAGGACCAACTACACTCGCTCCCTGGCTGTGATGTCCATGGTGGGCTACATTCTGGGCTTAGGTGACAGGTGAGCTTCTCATTCATAAAGACAAAGCCTCTCAGCTTATGTTTCAACAGAAAAAACTGACAACAGGGTTTTTATGTCTCCCAGACATCCATCCAACTTGATGTTAGACCGACTCAGTGGAAAAATCCTCCACATTGACTTTGGTGACTGTTTTGAAGTAAGGAGATCGTTTTCCATCTCTACATCTGTGTTTTCTATTAGTTCTGTGGAATGTTGAGCCTCATATTAACATTGGACAGGTGGCGATGACCAGAGAAAAGTTCCCTGAGAAGATCCCGTTCCGACTGACCAGGATGCTGACCAATGCTATGGAGGTAGGAGAGATGCAGCATAACGCTCCCTGCAGGGAAAACTAAAGATTCCCAACACAGAAATCCTCTCTAAGCTTCTTCCAATTAGTTTCCATGAGCAAAATAAGTATTAGTCTTTTCCAAATATGCAAACTTAAAACAGAATTCATGACTAATTCTAATTTGGAGAAGAAAAGGAATAAAAAATGATGCATGCATAAAATTCTGCTTTGTGAGAACTTAAAGTTTAAGCGTCTCGTTAGAAAATGTCTTTAAAGCTAAATTCCTAAACCGAGCTGCAGGGAGCCCGGTTCTCATCAGCTGTGTGTGTTGACAGGTGACGGGTTTGGACGGGAACTACAGGATCACCTGCCACACGGTGATGGAGGTACTGAGGGAGCACAGAGACAGCGTCATGGCCGTGCTGGAGGCCTTCGTTTACGACCCGCTGCTCAACTGGAGGCTGATGGACAGTAAGGACCCCCGCGTTCGTCTCCACCTGCAGCTGGAGGCGGTTATTAGGTTTCCTCTGATGGGTTTAACAAAAACAGGCTTTCTGCACTTTTTAAAATCTAAATTAGGTGACAATATAAAAATGTAACTTTTTCCTGTATTTATGGTTAATTTGTTTTTGATCAGTTTTTTTGTTTCTTGTATTTTCTGTTTTCTCTAGTGGTTTATGTATTGTTTTGTTTTATTAACCCCTCTATTTTGAAAAAACTACCTATGTTTGTACGTTTGATAAAATGTATTATTTGCTGAGATTATATTAAATAAGAAAAGAAAAGGGGGGTGAAAAGAAAAGAAGGAAAAAAAATTATAGTTTTTAAACAGATTTAAAATATACATAATAACAAATATGATTTTAATCTAGAGAAATAAATTTTGTTTCGAAGGGAAGAACAGTTATTGATATGCTACGTTCACACCGCAAGCAGCAGGAGCAGCAAAAACGTGCGGCTAAGGCATCTTTGCTGCTGTAGCTGCGAGGTGGAAAAGTTGCTCTGATGCCCGTTGGGCGGAGCTACCCAATCCTTTCTTTGCCTGTAACAATGGCAGCTATATTTGCTGTGATCAGTGGGTAAAAAGTGGTTTTAATGTTTTTAAGTGAAAAAGTCCACCTGAAAACTTCATCTGTGCAGTCAGCTCGTAGCCGCTCAGACCCCCGTACAACGGCGGTGCTCTGTCACTAGGAATCCCGTTCAACAGCAGCCTCTAGCGCAGAGGCCTCTTCGCGGTCTGCAGCTGCTGTTTGCGGCAGCTGGAAGTAGATGTTAGCGTTTTTCAAGTACATAATCAAAACTGAAGGCACCAGGATAATAAAAGCGAACATTGTTTGCTGGCAGATTTTGGCATTTAAAGTTAATTTAGACATTAATAAACTGTTTCAGAGGAGTGATCATAGCGATCTGCATCAGCAGTGCTGTTTCTGTCTCCCTGCAAGCTATCAGATCAGCTTCTCTGATTGGTTCATGTGGCACATCGAGCAGCAAAGCTTGCATTTTTCCAAATCCAGCAGCTGCTGCCTTTGCAGCGCGTCCTGCGCCTCAGATGCTCAGAAGCTCATGAGGCGCTGCTTCAGCTGCTCAGACGTTGCTCCTGCTTCTCAAAACGCACTGCAGGTCCTTGTGCTGCGCCAAGATGCATGTCAACCATTGACTATGCATGTAAACAAGCTGCTTCTGCTGCTATAGTTGTGAACGTAGCATTAGGTGTTTAATCGACAATGATTTGAATTTAAGAACAATTTCTATGGTTTCTTTGTCGCTGCTCTCATTCACCTGATTTCCCTCTCTGCACAGCAAACACCAAGGGCACCAAGCGTTCCCGCACCAGGACCGACTCCTACACCGCCGGGCAGTCCGTAGGTCAGTGATGCACAAAAGAGAATGTCTTCCTGATTTATAAAAAAAAAAAAAAAACTCATTAAAACATTTGTGTCCTCTTCTGCAGAAGCTCTGGATGGAATAGACCTGGGAGAGACAACGCATAAGAAACCAGGGACAACCGTACCTGAATCCATTCACTCCTTCAGTCAGTGCCTAGTGTTGTTTTTGGTGTATCAGATCATAGGGTGGGGTGATAAACCCGATTTTTACCGGTCGGTAAAAGAAATGAACTTAATTCTGCTGTTTTTCCTGTGTCCACTGGTGGCTGGTTCCTTCCCCTTTAAGACACTTCAGCATGTGGGTAATAACGCGACTCCACCGATCCAGTCCAGTCTAAACAAAGAAAATGGCAGATGAGCCCATTGAAGAAACGTCTTAAAGCAGCTTTAAACAAAATTACATCAGTTAATCCTGAGGAGCCGAGCGACAGCTGAGATGAAGCTGAGCGCGAAGGGAAGAAGGTCGAGAGCGAGTTGTCAGAGAAGAGCAAGTGGCAGACCGTTTTCGAGTGGGGGTTTGCGAGTTTTAGCGATGCACATCGTTTTCTCTGCAGGTTCAGTTCAGTGGCAACAAAATTACTCCACAGATGTTTAGCAAAAGAACACGACATTTCAAAATTTGCCTGAAAACTGGGGACACATCCAACCTCCACCACCTACAACACAACTATGCTGTTTAGTTCAAAGATGTGCAAATGGCTCCATTATCTTTGCACAAAAATATTTGCAAGAGAGGAACCATTTTTCTCCTGCTCAATGAGAAATTGTTCAATGTTTAAACGTGAATAGGTAGAAGGAGACTTTAATATTTAATTGAACATAATATGTATTCCAAAAAAGAAAAAAAATCCAATATAAAAAGGTTTTATATTTAACCTCAAGGTTTTCTATAAAACCTCGAACCCAATGTTATTCCTGACATTTTGAATTGAAAAAGCTTCCTGGATGGGAAGCGAAACGTCTTCAAACTGGAAACAAAATCCAGTGGATTGTTTTTAATTCACCAGCAAAGTGATATGTAATGTGATTTATTTCATAAATAAATTATAAATAGATCCTGTATATGTTTCCTGTATATGCCTTTATTTCTGATAGAGGAGCCATTGTATTTATCGTACATTCATCATTATCGGGGTAAAAGTGCTCAATTTATTGTAAAGTTGATTTAAGGTCATATCGCCCCGCCCTATCAGATCCTGAATTGTCTGTTTCAGGTTGTATTTTCCTGCATTTGTCTGCAGTTTCTTTATCCCAGCTTGTTTGTGTCTTAAAGTTGGAGATGGCCTGGTGCAGCCTGAGGCTCTGAACAAGAAAGCCATTCAGATTATCAACAGAGTACGTGACAAACTCACCGGTAAGTTCTCTGCGTCACACCTGAAGGGGCGGTAGCTCAAGCCCACTTCTGCAGTAACCGTTACCTACGATTTCCTGAATATTTCAGCCATTCAAGGTGTTAAATCTCTGAGTTTTTTTTTCCATCAGGTCGAGACTTTTCTCACGAGGAGACGCTGGATGTGCCGACACAAGTGGAGCTCCTCATTAAGCAGGCCACGTCCCATGAAAACCTGTGCCAGTGCTACATTGGATGGTCAGTGCTCCTCCTCTCAGCTTCAGCCTGGAGTTAGATCAAATAATACAGGAATTATTAGCTTTCTGTGCTCTACCTGACAGAAAACTATCACCATGAGGACAACAGTAGAACTAAAATCAGATTAATCGTGATTAATTGATTATTAAAATAATCAGCTAATTAGGTAATCGATTAATCATTAACTGGAGTTTAGAGACTCTAAATTAGCTGAAAGAGCGACCCATTTAGAGAAGGAATTTTACCAAGACTTAAAAAGAATTAAAATATTTTCATTTAAGATTTAAAAAGAAAATGTTTTTATCTATCAGTATTCTCTATCCAGAACTCCTCAAGTGGAAAAGTTTTAGTTTCACCTGATCTTACTTTCTAAAAAAAAATAGTTTATAAAATTTTAAGGAAACTCGGGTATCTGATTATTAATCGAAAAAATAATCGACAGATTAATCGATTTGCAAAAATAATCGTTAGTTGCAGCCCTAATTAGAAGCGTGTAACATTGTGTTGGCAGCATCATGCTTTGTTTAGGGATTGGGACCCTGGTAAGGGGGAGGGGGGGCAGACTGATGGCCTTATAATGGTTATTAAAGCTCTTCTTTCTTAGAATGGCCTAGTCAAAGTTCAGAGGTAAATCCAATCTAGAGAGTGTGGCAGAAGCTGAAACTTGTTCTCCATCTACACTGGAAAAACAATCTAGAAATAAGTAAAAAAAATCTTCAATTAAGTGTATTTACCCTTATTTGAGTNTTATCTAGATGTAGATATATTCCAGTGTAATCTGACTGACTTTGAGCTTCATAAGAACTTTGGGTGTAAAATCTTTTTTCCACGTCACATTTCCGCTCGTCGTGTTAATCTTTCACACAAAACCCGAACATTAAACAGATGATTATTCCTGTAAACTGGCAGAGGAGCTGCATGCATTGGTTAGAAGCATGTTCCGGTTAATAACTTTTGGTTTGTTTGTACATTTCAGGTGTCCGTTTTGGTGAAACGTCTCTTTCATCCAGGGTCCCGCCTCTGAAAGAAGGAGCAGTTAAAGATGTCTACACCTTGAAGCTTTCTCTCTGGAAATACTTTCCCTCTGAAAAAATGTTGTGAAGCTACATTACGGAGCTCTCTGAGAAAGAGATTTGTATTTTTCTTCTTTTCATCTTAAAGGCTCACTTTTGACCTAATCAGCATAATTTAATAATTTAATACTCATTGCTCCAAATTACTTTCCTTATTTTTACTCTCATATATTACCTGCTAAAAGCTTTCTATTATTACCACATTGTAATAAGTTATATTTCTGTTCATGCTGTGACATCTCTCTGTACTGATGCAATCAATCGCCTTCATATTGTTTGCCCTTTACTATAGAAATATAATTTAAAGGTCGCCTGTGAGAACACACATGTTGATGTGGAATGATATGATGTACTGTAAGGGCATCTGTGTGCCAATAAAGCCTGTACAGATTCCTCTGTGTCGATGTGATGGAGCGGCTCCTCCTGTCTGCTGCAGGTTTCAACAGGAAGCAGATCAAACGTCTGATAAGAGAAGATTTTGGGAAGAATTTAGTTTTCATTTTGCGCTTCCTCTGACGGCCACTGAGGGCGCTCTGACTCCTTATAAGATTCTTCCACATCACTAGTAAAAAAAAAAGTCCTCTATCAGGTGAGAGATGATGGGACCGAACCAGATCCCACCCTACAACCAGAACTAATATGTGGATTTTTTCCTAAGCTGAGATGAGATTTCTTGTTCTATCTGCCGCTGCTATATTTGTCATCTCATAATAAAAATAGCGGCCAGACTGCAGCTCAACAGGGAGATGCATCCTTGCACAAATAACACTGAATCCAATGCTGCAAATTGCAGAGGCAGAGCAGGAGACAGCCATTAATTTGTGCTCCCGTTGTGTTTTCTGGGGAGAGCGAGGTAGTTTCTGTTCTATTTGTTCTCATTGCTATTCCTCCACTAATTTCTCCATTTATTTCTCCTCTGAAGGTTAATTACTTATAGATAGTTAAGGATTAGGGATCAACAGAAAGCAGCCCATTGATCTCTTCCCTGCCGTGCCCACCTCTGCAATGTCACACTCTTTACACATTGGAACAGAGGCCTGGTGATTATCTGTTCATATCGATCGATCCCTCCCCTGTTTTCCCTTTTTTTTCCACTCTCCCTTTGCTTCCACACTGGCACTCTATTCCCTTCTGCTACCAGAGCCTCATTATCACAACTGTGACTCTTCGTATCCAGGGCCAAGGTTTCTTTTCCTTTTCTTTTATGCCTAATTTGTTTGTATTTTTATAGTTTCTAAAGTCTGCCGAGAGCAAAGCAAGTCAATAGACCAAGTTAAATAGGTTCCATTGATTGGGAGAGGGATTTAGCTGTTTACCAACTGTGGAAAAAGGCTAAAGCCACATAAAAACAACCTGGGAGTCTGTGAGGAGCAAGTCGATGGGGACAAACAATACTCGTTGGGGTACAAAGCGCCTCATAGCGAGGGAAGGCCGCACTCCATCAACCTTTAAGGCTGTCACATGACCAGAACCTGAAGGAATGTTGGTTTAAAACCTTTGCTCATCTATATTTTCCCTGCAGAAACCAAAGCCTTTAGCTCTTCCATGTACAGACAAGCCTTTAGAATGACAAACTACTTTGGATATCGGATGATGACGACCTCATTTAATGCAAACAGATGTTTTCAAATCATTTATGAAGGGCAAAAAAATCCTTAGACCAACCTGTCACCACCTAAAAGTAATTCACATCGAAAACCCTTTAAATCATGAAAAAAATTTAATTGGTTTAAAGTTTTTGAGAAGCTATTATCCACTGATGGAAGCGTGTAACAGTGGTGAACCGTCCTGGTAGAAGTAACATTAACAAAATGACCTCCACAGGGCAGACACGACTCATGGAGACGGTCTCAAAAAAACAAACAAAACAATACAGGCCTCAGTTGATGTCAGTGTTACAGCTTCAACAATTAAACACATAATGCACAAAAAAAAATGGCCTCCATGATGCTCCATGTAGGAAAGAGAACAGCAACCCCACTTTCTGTACTAAACGAAGAGATCTAATGGTGGAAGCTGTGTTTCATTAGCATTAGCTTTACAACTAACACAGCATTTCAGAAAAAGAACATGTGACACTCAGACACGGCAGTGGTAGTGTGATGGTCTGGGGCTGGTTTTTCCGCTTCAAGGCCTTAAAGATTTTTTTTTTTACCCAAAAAAATAAAAAAAATCCTAATCTCTCTGAAGGATTTCCTCGCACCTGTTCGTAAAATCTAGAATACCTGGAATTAAGTACATCCCAACATCCCAAGCACACCTGGAAGTCCTCATCTGAATCAGACAAATGCTCTGCCAGGATCACAAACAAGCATTTTGTTCTAAAAAATCTGTTTAAATAATTGCTAGAAGATTTGGGGAACCATTAAGTTTCCACATTCTTATCCTATGTCTCATTTGATCATGTTTAACTGTTAAAATATCATCTGTAAGGAGGCAAACACCGTTTAACAGCACTGAATGTTTCTTATCTTCAGTTCTTCTGCAACAGCTCCCCCTCCGGATGTTATTCCACATCCATGCACCCTCTTTAGCTTCTCATAACCCCCTGAGATTTCATAAATGCTCCTCCAGCATCCCGAGTGCAGCCAGACGAACCGAAGCACGCTCTTAAAACGAGAAAGCTTCTCACTTCCTGTTAAAAGCTTTGGATGCGTCTGAAGCTGGAAGTGTGCTTCTAAATTTAAACGCCACTTCCTGTTTTTACTGAATTTTTAACAGCAGTTAAACCAAAATACAGTAAAGACTGACAATCACCGGAGCTTACAGGAGCCAAAGGGAGACTATGACACATCAGTAGGGTTAATAAACCGTTAGCTCGTCTCCTAAAAGGCTTTCTAAAAAAAGGCCTTGAGGTCATTATTGAGTTTTCTGCAGGCTACAGTTAAAGCATCAAGAATAAAAAGGGATAAAAATCAGAATTTCAAATAACTTCAAAATAAGCAACTCTAAGGCGTTTAAACATTTTTATAAAACTGATAGCCGAAGTAAGCAGAGCATTTTTCATACGAAAACTCTTCTAAAAGGTTCATTTGCTATGAATCCAGATTAATCTAGTCTTGGAGAAAGAAGCTAACTAGTTTAAGAGGGACTGCATGGATGTTTTATTATTGTTGCAGGTAATGAACAGGATTTTGTAAATGGGAAAAAAATAAAAGCACAACTCAGAAATCAAATAAAAAAAAGAAAATCTTATTCCAAGAACTTTTTAGAAGAACTTATATTTTCAAATTTCTCTTTCAGATTGAGAATTGTATTGTTTTAAATTTGCATTTCACAGATCACATTCTCTTTACTTCTGGGCTTTCCTCTGGTGCAGGGGCGGAGCTAGACATTCCCATCATGAGGGGCCTAAGCCCATAAACTATTCCACTATAATGAAGGGGATTTGGGACACCAAAAAGTAAGAAGCTATTCTAGCATTCCACCTTTTTTTTTAAATATATATTTACTTGACATTTAATCATTATTAACAACATAATATTGTCAGGAAAATAACCTATTGTATGAGAGGATGTAAGTAGAAGTAGACCTGAGGAGTTAAGCAATATGTAAATCTGAGCATATTAGGGAGGGCTGGGTGTAGGGCCCAAACAATCGGATTAATTGTAATTAATTGATTATTTAAATAATAGTCAACTAATTTAGTAATTAATTAATCATTAACTGGAGCTTAAGAACTCTAAAATATGCCTTTAGCTGAAAGAAAAACTCACTAAGAGCATTAATGACATCAAAATTGGAAAAAAAAAATGTATACATTTCACCTTTAAGATATGAGACCCACTTGGTTATGTGATCCTGAATCCGATACGTATCGGATCTTTTGAAATGCGACCTGTGTTGCCCGGTCGCATTCATTCGACCTGAACAACATTAATACTCAACAAAGGTCTCTATTCTGCGTCTTGCTACGCAGAAGTGGGAATAAAAACAACAACCATGGCAGATGATGCGGAGAGCTGTCTTTTGATTGAGTTTTTAAGGTGGAGAAAGATCACTAGATGTGCTCCAGCTCTACCATCCATGTTTATTTCCGTAGCCACAGAGCATGCTCGCTTGTGACGTCATTGCATCCTCTACTGTGCATGCGGGACACTTAATCCCTATGAATCCAGTTCACACAGGAGATCACATACAAGTCGCATATATTTGGAAATGTGAACGGCAACACAACAAAATTGGAACTGAGCATCAAGGCATCAAAGTGAATGGAATCAGTAAAACACAGTTTTAAAAATAAAATATATATTTCGCTTAATTTAAAAAGCAATTTGACAAAATAGGAAAATATAAAATCTGGAAAAGAATTTATAAAATTATGTTTATGATAAATAATTGAATAATAATAAGAAATTATAAATAATAATAAATTATATTAACAAAAAATAATTATAATAATAAAAGTATGTTAAAAAATGAATTTCAAAAATGGAATATTAAAAGAAAAATTCTATCTAATAAAACAGAAAACCCCCTTTTTTTTTATTATGACGTTTTTCAAATTTTCTTTTTTTATTCTCTTTTAAGAAACATTTTATTTTCCTGCAACAATAAAGGAACAAAATTCACTCCACACTAAACGGAATAAACTGGATTCAAACAATCTTCATGAATTTTGTCAAGTCAGAGTTTATTCCAGTCAGAAGTTTCGTTTGTGCTGATTCTCTGGAATAAAAAAAAAAAACAAAAATTGTAGAAATACAGAAGAGGTTCCTCTCAGCACTTAACAGGGTAGTCCTTTAGTTTTGTTTTAGTGGATCACTGGTGATGTAGGAAGGTGTGCAGCTCTCTGCTGCAGCCTGACTGTGGCCAGGAAACCAACATATAGATCTGTGGAGAGAGCTGAAGGAAAACGCTTGTAGCACTTTTCTTAATTTCTCACCAGGAAACAAAACCCTCCTCTGGCCCTGCTGTGGTTCAAACACGCCGGCCCTCAAACTACCTCTCCTCTCACATCTTTTCTCTCACCAACAGCTGTGAAAATAGGCACAGACAGAGGCGATATTGACGGCCAACCGCAGCAGTTCGATTGCGTGCTCTAGTGTCGTTGAAAGCTGCAGCCTGCAGGCAGGACTCCGGCTGTCTCTGTGCACTGTCTTGTGAAGCCAGTATCGATGAACTTGACAGCAGTTTAGCCCGCCTGAGATCTGCTGTCCTCAGAGGAACGCTCCTGAGGCATTCTCCTGCCAGCTTTAGTCTTGTTTATTGTGCCTGTTAATGTTTCTGGGAGCGAGGACGACAGAAATCCAGGAGGAAAGATTTTCTGTTTGTGTGAATCTCACATTCTCTGAGAATAGAAAGTTAGGCTGGCGTTTTCCAGGAATAATCGACTCCATAAAAAACTATCAGATGTTTCTGACTAGTGGTGAACTGCAGTTTTTCACAAACGTTTGAAT